TCAGTATTTTCTACATCTACCGGTGTGCATGGCAGGGGATAATTGACCGCAAAAACTTATCTCTGTCCCGAATTGGCGTAAAGTCCTCAACTCTTCAGATGTAGCACTCCGTTGCAGCCTCTGTCCCCCCTCATCCACTCTTAGGATTTTAGACATCAGGCTCAAAGTGTAAATGTTATTACGGTTGAAAAATACCCAATTTCCCAGTACCGAGGAGAGGGATACAAAATTCACCCTTCTCGGGTAAAAACACTGATAGAAGCAATAAATGTTAATCGAGTTCTCAAATAATTTAATTTTATTTCAGCTCCTGTTTTAAAATAAAAGCAATATGCAAAGCTTATACACAGACGGACTGTAACAATAGCAAGGATTTATAAGATGGAGGTATGCAACCGGTGCAACTACGAAGTCACGCGAATTGCGAGATGATCGCAAAATCACAAAACAAGCCTACATTTACAGAAATGATTGTGCAAATGAGTAAGTTTGTTAACGAACTGATTAGTTCCGTAATGCAATTCGCTAAACAAAACCCTCGATTGACGCGCGCGTGGAACTCGCTAGTTAGTGAGATCCCGCGAGATCTACGCCGCATATCAAACTTGCACGCCCTTACTCTTAATCTATAAATCATTAAAATATTTATATTATGATGAAAAGTATTTCTACGGCTATTCAACATACACGTATTTGGAAATCAGAATAGAATAGGTAAATGTATACAATAGCTGAGTTTGTTTACCCATACATTGCAACAACACAAATACCAATAAATTGATTACAATGCTAACAAGCAATAACAGCCACATCTATACATCTATAATTGTTTCAGTGCCATTATTATTATTATTATTATTATTATTATTATTATTATTATTATTATTATTATTATTATTATTATTATTATTATTATTATTATTATTATTATTATTATTATTATTTAATTTTAGTGCTTCCAGTTTGTTACTTCCTCAGTTTTTCATCTTTATTGTAATTTACTTTTTCTGAGTCAATATCCAAATAAGGTACGATTATGCAATAAAGATTATTATTGACGACGATGATGTATTTAGGTATATAGAAAAGAAACGTATGAAAAACTACTGTCACTGCACATAACAATATAATTGTCTTTATTGTTTTTGATTTGTTTTATTTTTTTAGAAAAGTTTTTATTTTTTGTTTTCTTTTTTAGATTGTAGTTTGTTTTAATTTCTTTCTGTAAGACCCTTTTTATCCTTTCCTAAGGATTTTATACGTCTAATAAAAAAATAAAAATATAAATCATGTTTGCTGTATGACGTTATATTGCATAATTAAAACTTACAGTACAGTACTGTTTCCTGTCGTGGCTAAAAAAAAAAGCAATGTCCATGCAGTGTCTTTACTTGTCGCCAAAATTGCACTTGGTTTGGCAACTGTACTTTTGAAGTGGTGAAACTTGTAAAATGAAAACAGTTGATTGTATGGCCTATTTTGTCGGGTGAAACAAACATCCGTCTTCACGCAACTCCGGATATAACATGTTAAAACTCATTTTAAAAAGAACAATTGTTTTAGTAGATTGCATTGTTTTTGTGACCTGATGCATTCTAAGGCGATTAACACCAATTTGATTAATCGCTTCTTAGTAGGATTAGCTTCATAAAATGCTATGGCGCGGTGCTCTGGTTAATTTTTTATACCACTTGGACTTGGTATATGTATGGTGTTGCAGAAACATTCCCTAGGTTTTTAATTCACTGGCCTGTGAAGATTTTTTTGTTTAAATTTAGCACATTAGCTACCAGCGATAAACGAATGAGCCCGTAAAGTGTACATACCTTCCAGCAATTAGGGTGCGTACTTATGCCGTACTTGTAACGCAAGATTTATTAGTGCAAGAAAAAAAAACATGCTAGACTAATATTTGCATAACGAATTTAATCGGTATGTTTTAAAACTACAGTCTGAAAAGAAATGTTTAATGGTGAAAGTTCTATGGCCGAAAATCTAGAGGATAGAGGGACTGTGAGTCATTTTAGTCGCTCCATTTTCTTTCTTTCTTTCTTTCTTTCTTTCCTTCTTTCTTTCTTTCTTTCTTTCTTTCTTTCTTTCTTTCTTTTTTCTTTCTTTCTTTCTTTCTTTCTTTCTTTCTTTCTTTCTTTCTTTCTTTCTTTCTTTCTTTCTTTCTTTCTTTCTTTCTTTCTTTCTTTCTTTCTTTCTTTCTTTCTTTCTTTCTTTCTTTCTTTCTTTCTTTCTTGGAGAAGAATATATTCCCACTGGACGCATTTCTAGTAGTATATACTGTATCGGTGTGTATGAAGAGCGTTCGAATAAAATGCATTTTTTTGCAATTTTTGAATGTTCCATTTGTGGTCGAGCGCCCATAAGTTAGAAGCCAAAACTGTCTCCATATAAAAATTGCAATAACGTTTTTGGGCTGCGAAAGCCTACGAACCTGCAACTGATAAACAATATTGATGTGTTTTGGCCTGGTTAGGAAATCCAATATTTTCACATTTCCGCGATTTGTGTACATCTTTTCCAAACATTGAAGCGGGTCAGAATTGTCATGGTAAATACAAGTATGATTGTTCACTGTTTGTACCACTGAGGGCAGCATACCAGACTGAAGATCACATTCCGTCTGCTACAACGACACGAAGCGTGATACGTAAATGAAATCTAAGTCTCAAAAGATATATTTGGAAGAGACAACACCACATAAAACTTATTTATTTTTCCATAAATGAATAATAAATAAATAAATAAATAAATAAATAAATAAATAAATAAATAAATAAATAAATAAATAAATAAATAAATAAATAAATAAATCTGGGATAGAACAAAGAGCTTTTATTATCTGACAGAACATGTAAATGGTATCATTTCCACTGCAAATCGTACTCTTGGCTGTGTCAGCTTGAGCCATATATCAAGTTCATGTCAAGAAATTTGTGTATACCTACTTTATAAATCACTGGTTAGATAAATGAAAATACATTTTGCATGCAAATGTGTTTAGTCGACATGGATACTTTAGAGCATGCGCAACGTAGAACAACTCATGAGTGTAGAGAGATACAACGGAAGACTTCATGCTTTGAATTAATCAGCATCATATTTGTACATATATACAAAAATTGAGCCCTGGATCATGTGTCTAACATGATATTATTTCAAATAGTTACTGTGTACAACGATTAACAAATATCATCTATTATATATCACCTCTATAGAGGGCGCGCACTGGGTACGTCTCCCTTAAACCCATCGCTGGCTACGACAGTATAAACCAAATCACACCTCGCTGGATATGCAAACAAATATAAAGACTGGACTAATCTGAAACTGTGTAATTGATTTTAAACTTGGAGTTGAAGTTGAACTCAACGTCCGTACAAATTCTGCTGCATTTGTACATATTATCATTAGTATTTATTAATGCAGATCAAATAAATAAACAAATAAAAAATTGAAGTTAGATTGTTTATTTAGTTATTTATTGCTTCACTTTTGTAACAGGGGCTCACTATGTAAATTAGGAGCTGCACCAAATAAAAATACATTTCACTCAAAGACTAATGAAAAAACTTTTGATAGACAAAAAGAAACTAAGTTACATGAACTAAGATAACAAAATATAAGAACAACAAAAACATCTAAAAGTAGCAAAAAAATATGAAAAATAAAATATAAGAAGTACACTGGAAAAATATTATCTGTATACTTCTTTCTACTCTCCATGGCATCAACTAAGATTTTTTTGGTAAAAGTATCATTGTTAAATTGAGACATTATAATGTTACAAAATATTTAAGCCGTCATTCAGTTTTCGTGTAGTCAGTTGAACACGCAGTTACGATTTACACACACACCGTTGAAAACAATAGAATCACTGCGACCATCTCAATCCAGTGTATGGTTGATCGTATAAAACATGTACCAGACCAGACCACTGGAAGTTCAAAGTTTTTGTTTTTGTTGTTGTTGTTGTTGTTGTTGTTACTGTTGTTAGAATTGTGATATTGTCAGTATAAATCTGTATCATTTCACCATATAAAAACCCATACAAAGTTCTTTCAAGTGTAGACGAAAACGAAGTCCACACCGTAAGCCATGTTTAGGCAAAATCCGGGGGAAAAATGCTACAATTATGTTTAATGACTGCCATTTTTTACTGCCAAGTCATGGATAAATAATCACAACAACACAGAAAGATAAAAATGGGTATTAATTATTCATTCATCAAATGTGTTTATTGCGATTTTTTCTCTTTAGTTCCGCAATCGGTCGTATTAATCGGTGGTATGTGGGTTGTTGTGTTGAACTCAGCGGCGCCATAACCATGACAACACAGCGTTCTTAGAACACAGAAGAGGAAATAGCCGTTTTTCATCGTATTTTCTGAAACTAGGTACACAATGATCAGGTAACTTGTTTCCCATGGTGGTTTACGACATTGCGTTTGTTTACTGTCAAATCTAATAAAATGAGCGAACGATCTTCATGATACTGAATATGTGTTCTGAACGAATGCAGTGAGTGACTGGGCACAATAGCTATGTTTTGATTCGCTTAAAACAATCACGTGACTGTGGTCATGAACTCTGTTCCAATCTTCTTTACAACAGGTTTGCTAGTGCCTGTGCATGTGAAGGCGGCTTTTCACCCTTGACAAAACGCTTCGAGTTTCCTCTGCTTCTCGGCCATTTGAGAGTACGAAACCGCGATATATGCTTGCCAACTTAGTAGGCCGTCTATGTGACGAATCGTGCCCCAATCAGCCATTTTGGAAGGAAATAATTGCGGTCTGTGCATCGCAGTCGTTGTCGCTCGAACGCAGGCAAGGGAAAGGTGTGCGAGAAATCCGTGCTCACCAGTCCAGTTATCCGCTAAAGTTCTCCATGTCGCTTCGCTGATTAATTGCGGATTGTGATCATCATTCTGGGCATTTCGTTGTGACTATCGAAGAATTATATTATTGTTTAACTGAAGTTAAATATCTGAAATTTGAGTATCGTCTGCGCGGATAAGAAAATTCTGCGCCGTTCACTCTGGTACCCTGCAGTGGATTTGGGGATTCAGTTTTACCGGACGTATTGATGCTCTGAAATACAAGATACTTGATGTATTTCCATGGAGACATTTCTGGTGTTCTTTTTGCGTGATTAACTATGTTTTTTCTGTGACATAGTCGTTTGTGGCAGAAACCGGAACTGATTAGCACTGAACAAACTTGACAAACGACAGTCCGCTGTACAGCAGGAAAAGCTGGAAGGATTTGCTTGGATACCACGTTTGCAATATTTTATAATTTTACTGGACCAATCGGAAAAATACATTTTCAGTTTTTGGCGAGTTAGATAGTTTTTTTTTTGTTTTTATATATTATTTTAAAATGAAGTAGCTAGAAAGTTGAAGATATGAGCAGTTTCAACTACACACACTATACAGCTGCAGAGCCACCCAGCAAAACGTAAGTTCACTATTTTTTTTATTTTAAATTTTTATTTATGTTGTGTTCCACTTTTAGACCAAAGTTGACGAGTGTGATTATTTTACACTGTTTAAAGAGTTTTTACTAATGTGAGTTATTTTTACGACTGCTTAAAGATTGTTATCCAGTCAGTGGAGGATGTAAAATTTTATGCGACGGAGACTTCCATTAACAAGTTATGTTACTCTGTCATACTACGTAAAGTTTTAGCTAGCAACAATATCAACTTTTTCATTGAGTTCTACATCACGTTTCCAGTCAGTTACATTATTCTAGTTATAATCCGGTGAAACAATCAAACATGTTTTCCTACTTTTAACTCGTGGCATTCAGATCATCCATAGTGAGATTTAAAGTTCCACTCACTCCACCCACTTCCATGGAAACTGTATGTTCGACAACGAACAGTCTTTTCTTTCCCAATTTGCCCTGTATTGTTAGTTGTACAATATACCGCGATATTGATCTCATGTCAGTATATGCTATTTCAACACTGGTAGTCAGTGTTTACTCTAGGCTTCTAATTATTTCCATGCTGTTTTGGCCGCTATTATTCGACGTTACCGTTAAGTAAATCAACACCGTAGTTGACGCGACCTGTCGATTTTTTTAGTTGTACATTTTCTTCGAGTATAGTTTTAACTGTTGATTTGTTATCTGGTTAGTAAATGTAAACATGATAATACTCCTATTCAAGCGATGAGGATTTTTGAGCCGTTTTTTTTCGTGGTTCTTATTTCAATTTCCTCAATAGTAACTATTTCAATACATTCACTATGGCAACAGCTACTTCCAGCAGTAGGCATCATACCAAGTCTATGTTTTTGACAAAACATGACAATAACAATTGTCACCGTCCTTCTAATCAACAGACCCGTACAAAAGGGCACATAAAATAGCCAAGTGAAGAATTCTCACTTCCAGGTAGCAAATATGTAGCATCATTGCTTAGCTGCCCTTGTCCATGTCTCTGCATTGTTTTTCCTAAATTTAATTTGACTTGTGACTTGTGGAAAAATAGTAGATTTCTTGTGTTGGACACTTTTCTCTGTGTCATGAGTGAACACCATTGTTCAAGTAAAAAGATAACTACCTTGGTAGTATGAATATTTGGCACATGTTGCATTGTTGACTGGTTTCAAAGAATCATTTTGAATAGGTAGAAAATTAAGTCAGTGCAGAGTTGTTTATATAGTTAACAGGTAGTTGATCTATGATCAGATGAAGTGAACTCATCTAGACAGGTTTTTGTGAACATTCTACCGACGTTGTCAAGCATAGACAGTAATTGTGGGTGGGCCCCTTCTAACTCAGTGAGCAATGCTTTTTTAACATGGTGGTATATTTGATAGTGAACCAAGATTATAACTTAGTTACACTCCCTTCTTTATAGTTGCTGCTGTGTGGAGGAGAGGGACTACATGTACTTCAACAATGTTCTGTGCATTTCTAGTAGCCTGAATCTGCCTGTCAGTTATTTAAACATACATGCCTCATACAAATGTCCTGGATTAGGAAATTAAAACTCAGTGATAAATATTTTTTTTGGTCTACTGTCATGATTATCTTTTAGCTTTTTCTCCACCAGACTTTCTTGTCCAAATTTTCTGAACTTTTTTCTTATATTCTTCAATATTTCTGGAAATGAACCCTAATTTTGAAGCCAACAAGCAAAACTAGAGTCAATTTACAGTTTTTACTCAAAAAATTGGCTATTTTTGTCCCAGTCTAATGAAGGAAAGTATGGACTATACAGGAGTATTTTGTGAATTTGTGATGAAAAAAGGGAACTGGTGGTGAAAATGTTAGTTGGTTGATTTTTTACTCTGTGTTTGTGAAGCATGCAATGAATAAAAAATCTTCTTTACAGCAAGTCTCAGAAGTATTGGGGCAGCCAATTTGCAAACTCGCTAGCGAATTGGCTAACTGCTTGGGTTTTGACTAAACAGTTGGCTTTCGAATCTCGCTGGCACCGACTCGTGGTCGTGTCCACTCTGGGCGAGTCTATATCGCATTAGGGAACATAGTATGCTTTTACGTAGCCTGGAACATGTCTGGATTCCCCTGAA